ATTCACTTCTCTGCTGCCCGGCTCCGTGCTGATGGCCACTACATCGGCCTCGGCCGGCTCGCTGGGCATTTTCCAGTCGGCCTCGGTCTGCCGAAGCCCATTGGAGGCGACGGTAACTGAGCCTCAGTTATTCGATCACCTGTCCAGCATGGAGACGCAGTCCGGCCTCAATGCCCCCGTAGACTTCGATGCCGCCTCAAGCGTTCTCTCCTCCTCTCTGTCGCCCTCGCTTCTCTCCGCAGCAGCCTCGCCATGCTCTCTCTCGGGCGCATCTCTTTTTGGCGAAGCCACGCTGCTGGTACCGCCCGGCGGTCAGCTGATGAATATGTCCTCGGACGAGCCGGAGCTGTGCCGGAAGCAGACGTTGGCCGGTCTCCCGTCGTTGCTGGACGACTCGACCAGTTCCGCCGCCTCCATCACATGTCTGGCTACTCACGGCGACCGTCTGGCCGGCAGGCCCTCGCTTCAGCTGCTCGCCGCCTCCGAGGAGTTGGCCGGTGTTGAGACGTCCTGTGATTTCGCGGGTCACAACTCTCGCTTCGCTCACACCCTGCCGTCGACTCGGCCCACGTTGGTACTGCCGCCCGGCGACGCGTCAGACCTGTCCGGTGATGTCGAGATGGAGGAGGCGATGCTAATCGACCGACTCGCCAACGAGCTGCCTCTACGTTGCGATTTCAGTCCTGAGCTGCAGTTTTTTGATCCTCAAGATCCCGGATGCCCCAGCTCACATTCGCTACCCGATTTGGCCGACATCACCTCGTTGACCAGCTCGCCCCGTCTGTCCGACACGTCCGACTGCCTTGAGTCGGTCGGAGATGCGCCGCTGCCTGACCAGTCGGCTCAACTGCCTCCCGCGTCACTTGCAGTCTCGCTTTTGCCCGCTGCCACGGTGACTTCTGTGTCGGACCTAAAGATGACCTTCGACGCACAATTCGACGATGCCATGAACGTGATTCAGGCCAGCGATCAGTGTCAACAACACCGACCAGAACGAAAGCATTATCACCGCGGTCTGCCTTCACCACCGCGCACACTCGCTGCTCGGCTTCGAGGTCCCAGCAATGGGCAGCCGTCACACCTCGTCGGCTCCCTAGCACTCAGAGGGGGACTTTGCGTCGACAGTCTGGTGCCACACCAGCCGAGTGTGATCTCGCCAAGGTCTGCGCTCAATTCGATTTCCGTTGACGACATGCTACACCATGAGACTGATCTATCGGGGTGTGCTCCAGTTGCTATGGTGACGGATGAACTTGTGTGTAGATATACAAGTCTAAAGTCGGGCACTGTTAGGCTGGATGAGGAGGCGGATAGAGAAGAGCCAGATGTACAGGAGGAGCGAGAGGACGCATTCGACAGAACAACGGCGCCACTTACGAAGGAGGCTCTGGACGATGAAGCCATAGATATGCAAGAGATTATCCACTCTTCCGCAGACCCGAAGGTCATGCCTCTCTTCGAAGTATGCCATAGCCTGGGGCCGTGTGGCCGACTCTTCTCCACAACTCCAGGCCTGCGTCGTTCCTTGAGAGAGCGCTCTCACCAAGCTGTTCTGCTTTCCTCAGATCTGGCTAGCATTTCCAAATCGAGCTTGTTCACCATCTAATTTCGCGTATCCAGAACTCACTTTTACTATCTTGCCATTTCGCTCTCACCTCATCTCATCCCACCTCACCTTTTTCCTTTCCTCCATTTCCTACCAACGACTTCAGCAGCATCGTTTTGTCAAACGATGTTTTTTCCGGTTCATAATATCTTCAAGATACCACAATCGCTTACGCACAAAATTGGCTTCCTTAGTTGTCTTCCGGTCTCTTACTCATTCATATATACATATACATATACATGTATATGCATGCATACATATATATATATATATATATATATATATACATATGTACGCAAATCCATGTATATTTGCTCCCTACCTACTCAGGGTGTTAGTATCTTGAAGGGTTAAAAACCGGCGGATGCAGATAACTTTGCCTATTTTAAGCCCATAACTACCCCTTTTCTCTGTTCTTACGCCCGCGTCTTTCTTCCACAACTTCACTGTTTCTTCTAACTCTCCTGGCCTGAGTCAGGGTATCCTATCCCATTGTTTCTTTCTGCCCCCTTTCCTTGCCTCTTAACCTCTTCCTGCTCTACTCCACATCTTGAAATTTACCTCAATCCTACTTTTACGCATCGGTTGCACTCCTGTGGCTCTACGAATGCGCCCACTTTTTACTCTTTTCACGGCCTTCCTACTCTCCCATTTGCCACGTATGCGTGTGCACAGGACAGCCAAACTATCTGCTTTTAAACACACACATCCT